TGATCTCTGACCCGAATCTACTCTTTTCCAATCTACTCACTGTACGTGATCCTCGGCAAATTGTCATAATACGGAACCACAATCTTCTTCGGGTCCTTCGTGTCGCCAACCATCGCCTCCGTCCCCGGATGAGTCGGCGACCTGTCCACGATCAAATTCACAGCACTCGGCCCAGCCTGCCCCTGAAGCCGCCGAATCACCTCAGGAATATCCTCGATCCTCTCCAGTCTCGCACTGCCATTCCCAAGCGCCCTCGCAACCTGGTCATACTCGGCCCCCTCGCTCAGCGACGAGATCGGCCGCGCGGGCTCATCACCCCCGTACACCATATCCTGGCCGTTCAGGCTCATCCCCCACGCGTAGTTGTTCACCACGACCGTCAGGATGTTCAGCCCGTGCCGCTTGTACGTGTCCAGCTCCATGAGGTGAAATCCCGCGGACCCGTCGCCCTGGATGCTGACCACCTTGCGGTCGGGGCATGCGACGGCCGCGCCCAGGGCGTGGCCGAAGCCGTTGCCGAGGAACCCGAGGTTTCCGGTTGACTTTACGACTGCGCTGGGGGAACATGCGGACAGTGTGTCTGCGCCCCAGAGCCCGGCCTCGCCGCCGTCCAAGATGACGATGCATCCGGGCTCGACGTTGGAAAAGACGCTCTTCAGGGCGTGGTACGGGTGAAGGCGGTTGGAGGGCTGGAGCGGCGGAGCTTCCTCAAAGGGAGATGGTAGGTGCCGTATGGAAAGGACATCTTTGACCCATTCCTCATCGACTTGGCTTGAAGTTGTGGGTTCCTGGTTGATGGAGTTCATGGCAGCGAGGAATTGGCCGCAGTCACTGATGGCTCCCAGAGCCACAGGCAGCACGCGGCCGATTTCTCCGCCATCCACATCCACGTGGATGAGCTTGCAGTCCGGGGGTATGATCCCCCCGGCCCTCCCTCCGAGGAACATTCCGGTTCTGGCCCCGAGAAGGAGGACGAGATCGGGGCGTTTCTTGCCGAGTATTTGGAGATAGGCGAGCTTGTCGGCTGATCCGCCGAAAAAGGGGGAGTCATTAGGAATGGTTGATACGCTGTATTTAAGTGTATCGAATACAGGGACATGATACGCTTTGGAGAACTTGGCCAGCTCGTCTCTGGCCTGTTAAGTTCCGCTTAGCTCGTATCTACGCCCAGGAGATGAAGGTGAGAGAAGGTACTTACACTAGCAGAAGTTGCTCCAGATCCTGCAATGATAACTGGGCGGGATGCCGATTCGAGAATCTTTTTTGCTTCCTTGACTGCCTCTGTGTGGACTCCTGACTTATACGTGAGGGGTGAAGAGATGGACCCCCAGGAGATGAGCGGCTTGTGGACAGGAGAGAAGAGAACATCGATTGGGAAATCGAGCAGAACCGGGCCTTGCCATCAATCAGCTTGATCTATCTGATGTGTTCAATAAAGCATTACCTGGTGTGCCAGACAAAGCTGTCCGGATAGCATGCGAAACCAGCCTCGGTGTCTCTTCCGCATTCGTCACCCGGACAGCGAGCTTCGTCAAAGGCTTTGCAGCAACAACCTGGTCAATGATGCCCTGGAGGCAATTGGTCTCGATGTCCCGCAAGGGAGGAGACGAGGTGATGCAGAGGATCGGGGAGCGATCGGCTAAAGCAGTCGCCAGTCCCGGGAGACCGTTTCCGAAGCTGCTCTTTCCGGTCACCACCTGGCTAATATTGGATAAATGAAAAAAGACTGGACGGATACTCTCTCACCCGCTGTTGGCGGTCACGAAACAGACGCCGATCTTGCTGCTGAACTTGGCATAAGCCTCGGCGGCCTGGACGGCGACTGTCTCGTGGCGCGTGTCGATGAGCCGGATCTTGGCCAGCTCGCAGCCCACGAGGAATGCGTCCAGATGGCCTCCGTGGAGACCAAAGGCTACCTCTACTCCCGCATGGCTGAGGCTTTGGGCGAGGAGATCTCCGCCGGAGAGTTCGCGAGAGCTTGGCTCTGTGAGGGAGAAGCCGGCCATATTGGGCGTCGTACCTTTGATATTATCGAGTGTGAGTAACTTAATCAAAGGAGACTATGGAGATGAAGTGTAATGATCCAGACTAGATCCAATGAGATTATTGCCATGATCTATTGATTGTCTTTGATGGCAGCATAAGCTGCGTATTAATACTCGCTGTGCATATCCGTCCCTCCTCCAGCAACCCCGCAGATGTGAGCTTCCCCTCACCCCTCAATCTTGGAAGCCGCAATACGTTGAATCATGATTCGACACATTCAATGCTGTGTGGAACAATTTGAATCCATGCCGAGGCCTGCGGCTCCGATGTAAACAGGCGGCATGAAGCATATCAAGCTTGGCCTGCTGCTGACTCGACGTGTCGGACTCGACATAGTTTCCGAAAGACCTTCGGTAATGTTTTAGTTCCGTGTAAGTAGATGGTGAATTGGACATTGATACCCAATGACATATTAGCTGTATGGCGATGGCTTTCTCAGGGGATTTCAGAAGACTATCAAGAAGACATTGATGCAGGAGTCTCAGTTCGCCTCTACCCGACTAACATAACAAGGATATCCATTCACGGGATGCAAACCACCAGAATCACTCTGATATGCCCGATCTCCATGCACCGTCCGTATCGGCGCCCCAAACAGTCTCCTTTTCACCCTGGCGAACCAGCCCATCTCGCGCTCCCTCTTCGCATCGAAATCGGCATAAGCATCCCTAATCTCCAGTTCCCGGCACGTCAGGATAGCAGCAACCTTGAGCTCGTTCCAGACCAGAGTCTGGCCGATACAATTCCTAGGTCCCGCCTCAAAGGGCCGGTATGCTGCGTCGACAGGGTACAGAGGATCCTCAGGCCCGACGAGGAACCGCTCCGGGAGGAACTCCTCTGCACGAGGCCACGCGCGAGGGTTCAGGTGCAGCGCCTGGTGGAGGATGTTGGCTCCCACGGTGTCGTCCATGGGCTGCAGGTTGCCTTGGAGATCCGTGATGAATGTGCCCGGTGCGCCCCAGCGCATCGTGCCCGCGGGTGCGTGGAGACGCATCGTCTCCTTGATGACGGCGAGTGTCAGCGGGCACTTGTTGAGAAGACTCGGACTCTCCTTTATGAGATCCGCGGCGTCTGCGGGTGTGTTCCCGAAAACCTCATCGTGCTCTTGGCGCAGCTTGGACAGCCATTTGGGGTGTTTGGATAGTCGATGGTAGACGTAGACCATCATGGATGCGGTTGTGTCATTGCCGGCGAAGAGAAAGACGCGGATCTGCGAAGTGGCGTATTGCGCAAATACGGGATCGATTCTATCCTGCTTCTGGATGTCGGTATCCGCCTTCTCCTTGAAGTACGCCTTCAGAGCGAGAGCGATGACGGACTTGTTGGAGGTAGAGCCTCCAGTTCCCTCCAGCTTTGCTTCTTGAAACCGCTTGTCGAGCTCTCCACGAATATACCTATCCATGATTCGGCCATTGTAATTTTGAATAATTGGACGGAGGGGGTTCATCAAGATGAAGGGGTTCCAGAAAGAATGGACTGCGATGATGCGGCCAAGGGCTGTGGCGAGTACATGATCGGACTGTTGATAGTTGGAGTCGTGGTCACTAAATTATAACCAATGTAAGCGTGTGTTTGACAGGCTAATATGAGATGATATAAATACGAACAGCGAGATTTTGAGGATAATTTCCATCGTCAGCCGCGTGGTCATCTCGTCGAGAGAAAAGAAGCCCTTGCCGACCATGTCAAACAGCTTCTGGCGAAAGACAAGCACAGAGTCAACAATATGAGGAACATTATCCAGCATGGCCCCGGAGCTAAAACCCGGGTTGAACAGAGATCTCCAGTACTTCCACTGGCTCCCGTTCATCGAAAGCAGACTGGGACCGCCGGCCACGGGGTGCATGAACTTGGATGCCTGCTCCGTCTTGGGCAGGTTGTACTTGACACATATCTCGTGGATGGCCTCTGGGCCGAAGCACGTGTAGAGAGCGGGATAGACGGGCCAGAAGTCCATTAGGAAGAGTTCCGTGTCGGCAAACTCCCTGCTGAGATCTCTCATTGCAAATGCCACTGCAGCGTCGGGCGGGATGCCGTCGACATACTTTTGGAGCACCAGAAGATGGCCAAAGACCCAGCTCCATCCTTCGGGCATGGGCTTTACAGATGTTAGTAGATCATTCACATCGGGTATGGATGCATGGGATTGGGTTTTTAAACTTGCAATGCCTTGCTTCCGGAGCTTGTAGATCTTGAGGCGATGGCGGAAAGTCGCCTGGACAATGTATCCGACTGTCGTGGCCAACACGGCGCCAATCGTCGACGCCAGAGTCAGCCACGCCATGATGGATGATGTAGAGAATCTCGGCAAAGGCTTCGTAAAAAAGGAAGACAGAGCTGTCGGGAGTATTGAGGAGTGTTGAATGAGAGAAGAGAGAAGCCACACCGATTGATGCTGTCAGCACTAAAAGCCACGGCCAATAGCAGGCGGTGATTAACAATCAGCACTCGACCAAGAGAGAGAGATGTCGGCCCAATTACTTTTCAGCCACGGGATCGTCTAGTTGAACGTTGATTCCGCATGACATAAGCCCCGCGATCCCTGTAATTCTGGTTGTGGTGCGACGAGGCCTTGTTCCGAGATGGGCATCTCCGGCTAGGATGTCTTACATTGTGAGGTCCGCTTCACCTTGTTTGGCACGGCGAGAGAGTTGCAGAGCACATCAGATAGCCGACTTGGTGGTAGTAAGAAGCAAACAGCGGGTTGCTGGTCCATTCGAGGATGGCTCCCTGCAACGATTGTGATTAGGCAGAAGATTGAACAACAGATCAGAGCAGGCCCGTATAAGAGCCAGTGCACTACGTGTCCTCATACTCGACAGGAAGATCTCGTTCACATCGTTGCCAACAGAGTCCTCGGCTGGGATGAAGGAGGATGCAAGACGTGCCTGATTTCAACTTATTTATATATTAAAGTCTACCTATCAATCCATTTACTAGCCTCCTCAGGCTGCCTAAAACGCACACCGCTTCTTGGTGCAGTAGAGACGTTCTCTATCTTCAGCCTCAAACCGACCCGTCACCATACAATCCCTCCTTGGATAGGGCACGAACTCGCCATTAGTGCTGAGCCCAGGGAGGGGTTTACTCTCCTTTGTATAAACACGGATCCCTCGACTCTCTACCGCTTTCATGGTTTTGGGAAAGCGGAGGCTGCGACCATAGTTATAAGACGCCTGTTCCTGAATGTCCTGTAGAAAAACTGCCTTGAGGTTCTTGTAATGCCTCGATGTGATCATCACCTCGACCGCGTCATCCACGTAATCGAAACCAGAGTCAGCAGTCTCCTCCCCATCCGCCTGTAAGAAAATAGGGTCATCGTTTTCAAACTTGAACTGGCCGAATGCTACGACTTCCATTGTGGCCGGTAGACCGCATCGGAGCACCTCGAAGAGCCGACCAAGAAGCTCGGATCGGGAACTGGATCGGACGTCGTCTTTGGTAATGCCCAGGCTGGTCTCTATCGCCTTCCAGCTCACGTTGGCCACGCGAATGTCCCCAAAAGACTTGAGCTGGTCTGGGGTCCTCCAGTTCATGTCTGCCGATGTGTAGTCCTGTCGGTCATCATGTATGCACAGTCGCTGGAGAGACGAGCCCTGGTGTTTGGCGAGTTGGTCGATCAATTTCTCGGCGATTTCTGGATAATCGTCTTCGCAGTAGTTGTTGCCGCGGAAACGGATCGCCAGATTTTCAAGACGGCGCGGAGTGCTAGTCACATAGTCTATCAGTTTGTCGCTGAGCTCGTACTCCAGCATGTCGAGAATGATTGTCTTGACGGACGATGTCTTGGCCAGCGAGGGTATGTGGATGTCCTTTGGGAAAAGACGAGAATCCCACCCCAGTGGAAGATCCCCGCCCATATGAGAATAGTAAATTTCAGCGAGGTTTGGCAAGCACAGCAAGGCGCAGAACTCATCGGCATACTGCTTCAAGTACTCCGGGGTTTCTACCTCGACTCCGGCTCGGTCAAGGCCTATGCCGACGGCAACTCTTTCCAGCGAATTCAACCCAGGCAGCCAGGTCCCTGCAGACTTGCACCAGTAGATGAAATAGCACAGCGAGGTGAGGCTCTCATTCCTGCGGTCGTCGTCAAGCTGGGCATAGCGTATAGCCTGGATGCGCGGCAGATAGGCCAGGACCAAGGCTTTGACAGGACCATCTCCGCCTTCAAACGCTCCCCGGAACGCTTCATTGAGATCCCTGTGCTCACCATACAAACGCGGCAGCTTCATCATCTTGGTACAAAGATAGTCAATCTCGTGGCGAGAGAGCGACCTGGGCTTCACATCCTCGTGTAGAATCCTCTTGCCAGTGTCGGCATCCACTGTCCAGTATTCGTATTCTTGTCTCTCGACCCAGACCTCAAACTCTCTGACGTGCCATGCCTCGATAGAAGCGGCACCTTCACTGAAGACACTCCACCAGAGTTTGGAGATGGTCCAAGGATCGAGATCAGAACATACTCGATACTCTTGGCATGCCTTGCGATGGCGGTCGAGGATTGGGAGTGAGTTGAGGTATAAATACTTGCACGTCTGCGCAAGAGGCCAGTGGGCTGAAGCATGTGTGTCCTCGATGATGAGCTCCAGGATCTCCGGGGCGAGAGTGCTGAGATATGGAGTGAGACACATAAGTGATGGGACTTGTAAGATGAACAGTATGATCCGACAAAGTGCATGTACCGGCCTTCGTGGTCACTTCGTCGCAGGTCTTGAATCTCTCTTAGGTAGTCAAGAAATTACATACAGAAGAGGGCTTAGAAGTTTACTTGTTCGAACCAACAAATAGGTATGCAACGACTTGACCTTTTTTGTCGCGTTTTGTTGGCCTAAATGGTCTAAAAATATCACCATGATCTGATCCATGGACCAACATGTCGGACCAACCGAAACCGCTGCTTAGTAGCATCCACTCTCCATTGATAAATACACTATAAAAGTTACCCATATTATGTAAGGCCGACAGAAGACTTTGACTATCAAATGGGTGAAATAAAACATGGCGTAACGAGATAGTTCAGCATTGAATTTCAAACACGATATCACAATAAATAATCTAGTACTGAATTAAATATCATAGGATATTTTTTTATTCTCTTATTGGTATCTTAGTCTCACAGAGAATATGAAAGAGGTTCAGACTTCAGCCGACCATGCCATCTCTCTCATCAAGTCAATCTCATTTTGAACTACCAAAACCCAGTACCTACATTCCCTTATACCATACAATAAATACCCATCCAACCCATCCAGTCCAATATCTGTCCCTTTTATCCCTTTGTACCTTTTTCCCTGTTGTGAATCCAGCTTAAATTTCCGAGTGCCATTATCTTCATATCGTCCAAAGCCACGAGTTAGCAATCAGGTGTGCCCATCTAAGACGGCCAGATGTACAGGGACATCAACGGGTGGATTGGAAGAACCCAGCCTTTTCGGGATATTCCTCACTTGAGGAAAACGCATTCTCTCCCTATCATAAAAACCTACCGCCGAGGTTTATCATCATCGAGTGTCGCAGCTTCCACAGTGAGTCCCACGTCCCCTAGATCTCACCCATGTCCATATCGACCTTCCCTCCGAGTACCAAAGTCAACCAATCCTCAACCCTGCCTTCGGTGTCGTAAAGTCAAGCCATTGTAGCATGACATTATATTGTGAAAATATAAAAAAACCAACATTGTCCGATGGAACTTCTCATACCTATCTTCATGGCTCCGTGAGAATGAGCTGTCCTATATCCTAGTCTCGCGGTATTTTGGGCCAATATTCACCAAGCGCCGGTTATGAATCCAACGTTGAGTGATGATTCTTAGATAGTATGTCCAATCGTGAAATCTACCCTGATATGCCAACTTCAAACGTGAAATATATTGCAACATCTAAACAAAGACAGTGCAACGTCGTTGCCGAGCTCAGTTGCCAGGGTCACCGGCGTTTTGCCTTGATTATCCTTGAACCGGAGAGTCTCGGGTGCCTCCATGCACAACAGGAGGAGTTTGCGGTCAGTATGCCTGCAAGCAAGATGCAGAGGAGTGTAGCCTTGCAATTCGTTGGTATCACGCAGCGTCAAATCGGCTCCATGTTCCACCAGCATCTTAGCCACGTCAACATTCCCCCGATTCACAGCCACATGGATTGGTCCACCCTCTTCTGTGATGAAGTTGATGTGCTCCTCCAGCAGGGGGAAGCCCTTGAGCGCCTCGCTCAGAAATTCCTGGCTCGCACACTCTGCTGCCACGTGCAGCGCATTTCGCGGGGGGAGACCAGGGCGCAGATAGAGCGAACCCCAATTAACTTCATCTCTCCCCAGTTGACCAAACCAATCGATAAGAAACTCGAGAGCCCTCAAGTCGTCTGCCTCTATTGCGGCCATCAAGGCGTTGAACCCGTGGCGACCGGGCTCCAGCCTAGCACCGTGACGGACCAGCATGAGCGCGGCATCGTACTGGGAACATCTCAAGGCTTCGGCCAGCAGTGATTCTCCGTCATCTCGTGCAGGATTGACGCGCATACCTCGGTTAATGAAGAATTGAAGCAGAGCCTCGACATCGACATCAACTTCGCTTTGTTTTTCATGGACTTTGAACATAGCCCGCAAGATAACCATTTGGTTGCGATTGAGCTGATCCACCGACGTGTTTAAGAGGAGAGATTTGAGAGGTTCCTGAGGACCGTCTGCATAGTGCATCATCGCTGCCTCAAGAACTGTGAGACCAGAATAACGGCGCTCGTCCATATCAAGCTCACCTCCCTTGGAGCAGACAAGTCTTAATATTGGGAAATCTTCATCCACGCAGCACTCAACCAGCAACCTCTGACATGCTGCCGTGCTCCAAAACAGTCGTTTCATGGCATTGGAAGTGTTTCGCAAAATCTTGATGATGATTCGACGAAGGCGCTTCAAGTGCCAAAACTTTTCGAGCGGTTGAGTTCCGACTTGAGTCTTAGCCTTGTCAAATATTTTCCCCGTATCCAACCCTTCCAAACACATGATACCTGGCTGGCCAGTCTTCTTTTCATAGTCTGCCAGGATGCCCTTGCTCAAAACACACTGTAGCGCTGCTTCAATTGACGGCTGGACCATTCTATGCTCCTTCTCAGACATCTCAATGCTTTTCGTCAAAACATTCCTGCAAAAACGGGGCCAGAAGCCTTTACCCCGGTCATCACACTGCCGGAGCATTTCGGGGTCAAGGAGTTTTGTGTACGCGCTCATAGACAGCTCGCGCCTACAAGATGGGTGCGAGGATCGCTCAGGTTCGCCAAACTCTGTCGAGCTCAGCAGGACCGTATTCTGGAATATGGTCTCGGCAGCAGTGAGGCCGGAATATGACATGTGCGGGACACCATCGCAGAGCCCAATGAGCAGCTCGGTGAACTCTAGAGTAGCAGACATGTTTATGCAATGGAGCGGTGACCAGCCGTTGTCATCCAGCTCAGAAAAGTCAGCCCCGAGGTCACGCAGACTGCGAAGCAAGTTGGTATCTCCCCAAGGTACGGCTAGGTGAGTGAGAGGTCTTCCGACACACCTAAGCGATAGTTTATTCCCGAAGTGCCCGATGAGCACCCTGGCGGCTTTAGGCTCGGTGTCAGTCTTTTTGAAAGGTTTTTCGGACAGGAAGTCGGTGCTGATCAACGCTTCAACGAACGGTGTACGCCTAGCAAGTGTCTCCTTATTCATATTGATGTCTTTGGACGGGTCAAAAAGACACAGCCATTCGAGAAGTTCAGGCTCGTTGGTTGCTGCAGCGAGGTGCCAAATGGTCCGACCGTCACGGTCAGACTCTGTAGTAGTAGCGCCATGTTCCAGAACAAGCTTCTCCATCATGGCAACACTCTCGACGACCATGAGAGGAGTTTTACCATCTTCATCTAAAGCCCCCAGGTCGGCCCCCGCCTCGGCCAGAATGTCTACAGCTTCAAAGAAGTCATCGGCAACGGCGATGTGCAGAAGTGTGTTACGGCGTTGAAATTTGTTGGTTGGCAGACCTGGATGGAACCGAGGATCCAACACACAGCGGCGGAGAGACCACGCGTCATCACCGACGATAGCGGCAACGGCTAGGTGGTTGAGTGCTTCGTCCGGGATTCCTAGTTTTCCATCGGCTGACACGGGGTTGAGGTTGAGTTGGAGGCGAGACATGGCCTCGCTGAGAGCCGCACCCAAGCCCCAATTATCAAGGTCTCCTTCCGCGAGGATGCAGTAATCAAAGAGAACCGTCAGTAGTCGCGATACGAAGTCTCTCATATGGGGTTCTTCTTCATCTAGGGTGAGATTTTCGATAAGTTTGGTCAGGCCCAGGTTGAAAACAAGTCCGGACTGAACGATGCGTTGCAGGACCGAATCATCTCCGGTCTTGAGCGAAACCCAGAATGCCATGCCAGACACCGAAAGACTCTCGTCTCCCGTAACTTCTAACCCATTCCCATTAATACAGTCAGCACCAGCATCCAAGAGCCTCTTGATGGCGGGCGAGCGGTTGTGGCTAGCAAAGTGACGACCAGAGGAGGGGTTCCAAGCCTTGCCGGCCATGCGGTTGACGAGAATATCGGGCCCAACCAAGGCGCACCACAAGGGCGTCCCGAGGGCGCCTATCTCATTGACATCGGCACCCGAGGAAATAAGTCGATCGCATAAGCTGGGCAACGCGAAAGCTGCGGCAATGTGTAAGGGACCAATTTTCCCCCTGCACAGAGCGTCGGTCAGGTCAATCATGGGATACTTGTCAGGTGTATGCCAGCCAAACTCGCCAGGCCACACTTCTCGGGCGAAATGCAGAATCCAATTTGTGAAACCAAAATTTGGAACAGTTGTACTTGGGGCAAACAACGAGAGAACCTTGTCCTTGACAGCGGGCCAGAACTGCTCAGCATGGAGAGGCCATTCGGTGGCGGCATGGGGGAGTCCCTGACATGTTTTCTCCATGAGCTCGGTCACTACCCTTTCGTGGTAATATTCTCCTGGCTCGTAGCATTTGAGACTCAGAAATGGGGACAACCACCGGGAAACGTCGTCTACAGATACGGGCGCATCGCCTCGTCTTTGCCTCAAATCAACAAAGCATCGTGAGTTGCGCTTGACGACAAGGTCCTGAGTCTGGATTCGGAAATCAAGCGGGGGTTCTGAACGAAAGAAGGACAGGCGCAGCAGCACATCTTGAGGTGAGGTGGCCGTGTTTATGCAGAAAGAAATGGCAGCGCGGACCCATTCCAGCTTAATCATGGCAGCCTCATCGTTGCTTGCAAGTGCAGTGCGCATGTCGGCTGCGAGAAAGTTGATAGTAGCCTCGCAGCTCTGTAAGATTGGGGAGGGAACCTCAAGTTTAGATCTGTCACCGCTGGGGTGAGTAGTCTTGGCCAGTTCCTCATGGGGAGCGCGAGATAGACTCTCATTGAGTCGGCTTAGCTCATCGTCAAGAGAAGACAGCACGATCTGGAGGCGATGCTGCAACCATGTGTCCCGAGATAGGTTGTCCTTGACATATAGGACTATCCTGGATATGGACTGGCGAAGCGACTGGATATACGTAGCCATGCTACGATGCTGGATTTGGTCCATTGTCGAGATGGGGCCAGCAGTGTTAAGGTGCACAGTAGTCCAGCGCAGAGACCAAGGAGGTCTTGCGCAACTATCAGGCTCTTCTCCGGGAACAAACTGGTTAAGAAGTAAGGTATTTGGAGGCTAGGCGAAATGACTGCAAGGCAGCAGAGTCAAGCTCAGTCCATGTGATGGTGGTTCTGTTGTACAATTGCCCGTTCGTCTCCCACCGGCCTCCCGGCACTCTCAGCGCAGATCGTGGGGCAAGGCTCTTGGCTGTGGGTGGTGGAACCGTGTCGCTGGTGACATGTGTGAATTGAAAAGTGAAAGAGTGTGAAAAACTTGCTCGCAGATAGAGCCGAAGATGATGGTGAAGAGAAAGAGAGAAAAAGATGGAACGTTCCTTCTGTTCGCCTCACCCAAAAGCAAAGCTGCCTGAAGGTGGCAGGCGGCAGCTTCAGTGGCACTGGCCCAGGGAAAGAGCGGGCAGCCCGGACAGCCCGCAGGTACCGTGTCAAGAGGGTGACATTATAAATGGCACACCCAAATGAAGACACAAATAATCACCTAAATAAACACCCGAATAAACATCCAAATATCTAAGTAAGTAGCTCTAAATAGATATCAGAGAATATCAATATTTAAACCTGATATTCTGTTCCTTTATTCTTGTTTCAGTATTTCTATAGCTAGGTATGAGAGACAATAGATCAAGCATGTATTAAGGTGTGCCATTTCTAATGTCACCCACTGCGTGTACAGATAATGGAGGTACCCAGCTACGGTGACTAAGCAGCGCTGCCCGAGCTCCGACCATCGCCATTGGCCTCATGCCATTCCCCCACCTCAGTCCTTCTTTCATTTGTCGTCAGCTCTTCGTGTCACGGTCATCTCCATGTCTGGGCAAAGTTTGATGGGTTGCAATCGGAGCCAGTGCTACCACATAATATGCAGCATCAGCTCACCGTGACCCAAACTCATGCAGGAATTGCTGCACTTCTTCCAGCTCGTTCTCCTCAGGCCAGCCACTCCTCCACCCTGCGACCATTCTTGTATCTGTCTGCCTTGAGCCAGTCTATATCCGCCATTGCTACTCAATCATCATTATGAACATTACAAGCAAAAAGTACTGCTCACATACCTGCTATTCTGCTGGCTTGAACCGAGATGAGGCCCTTCCTTGCTTGTCCGCGACAATCATCCCACCGAGGGTGTATATGCTGTGACAGGTTCTTTTCTCCCCACCATCTGTCTCACATCTGTAATCATGCAGCCGGCTCCAACCTTGCGCTCCTACAAAGCCAAAAAGCCCAGCTTACCTCGCAGAGTCCATGGCCGATTGGCGCGTATGCAGGGTTATCCATCCATAGATCGGGAAGCAGGTCCGTAGATCGTTTTGTTGCTGGGGTCAGAGTCTTACCTTGATACTCATGACGGCTGAGGTTGTATTGCAATCCAACTCTTACAGAAAATCACCTCAGCTCCAAGCCAGATGCTGTTGGCATTGGTTCCAGCAACTTCTCCTTCAACCCAACACCCATCCGCCCACGGCCGTTGATAGACTTCCTCCAGTCCATCCAACATCTCGACGTACGTTGCGACAAGCTCATACTCCACATCTCTCCGCCATGCCCAAATCAGACATTCCTTTTTAGCCGCCATCCTGGGATCTTCGGCCCTATAGCAGGTCTCTACGATGTAGCCAAGTCGCGGCTCGAGCTGTGCTATTAGCCACTTTACCCGGCTATTTTCATGAACGCCAGCCCGGATCGAATGTATAAATTGCTTCCATTTTCCCAACCGAAGCCATGTCCTGGTCCAAAAGAGCTCTATACCTGCTTCTGCCCGTCAATTTGAAGTTCCAGTAACCCAAGATGCAGTTCAGGCCTCTAGTTCTCGCCGCGATCTTGGCTCCCGCCTCGGCCCAGCTCCATCAATGGGCCCAGAGAGCCGGCCTCAAATACTTTGGCTCGGCCACTGATTCTCCCGGCCAGCGAGAGCGTGCCGGCCTAGAGCACGCCTACCCCCAGTACGATGCCATCCTTGCGAACCCGGACGAGTTTGGCCAGACTACCCCAACCAATGGGCAAAAGGTACCCATGCTCCAGCCTCTCCTACTCCCCAATTGACATGAATTTGGTTACTGACAACATAAACCAGTGGCTCTTCTCAGAACCTGAGCGAGGCGTCTTCAACTGGACCGAGGGCGAGATCGTCTCCAGCCTCGCGCGCGAGCAGAACAAGATCCTACGCTGTCACGCCCTAGTCTGGCACAGCCAGCTGGCCCCCTGGGTCGAAGCCCAGGAATGGACGGCCGAGGAGCTCACCGAGATCGTCACCGCCCACGTCACCAACGTGGCGTCCCACTGGAAGGGGAGGTGCTACGCGTGGGACGTCGTCAACGAGGCCCTCGAGGAGGACGGCAGCTGGCGCCAGTCCATCTTCTACCGCGTCCTGGGCGAGGACTATATCAAGCTTGCGTTCCGGCTCGCCGCCGAGGCGGACCCCGAGGCGAAGCTGTACTACAATGATTATAATATCGAGAAGCCCGGGGCCAAGGTGGATGCTGTGCTGCGGCTCGTGACGATGCTGCAGGATGAGGGGATCAGGGTTGATGGGGTGGGCATGCAGGCTCACTTCACGGCCGGGGAGGCGCCCAGCCTTGACCAGCAGATTGACGTGATCCAATCTTACGAGGCGTTGGGTGTTGAGGTTGCCTTGACTGAGCTGGACGTTAGATTAGACAAGCTTCCTCCCACCGAGGAGCTGCTGGCGTTGCAGAAGGAGGACTACAAGAATGTAAGTCTACGGTCTCCTACAGACAGGGATCAGGTTGTTTCAAGATGGCTAACTCAGCATTCTAGTCCGTCGGCGCATGTGCTCAGGTCCCTGCTTGTATTGGCATCACGCTCTGGGACTTCTACGACCCGTTCAGCTGGGTACCGTACACCTTCGAGGGCGAGGGCGCAGCGCTTCTCTGGTTTGAGGATTTCTCGCACCATCCCGCTTACGCCGGCGTCGTTGCTGCGCTCAAGAACGCCACCGGGCTATGCAGTAAGTAAAGTGGATTGTCAAAGGGGGCCACGAGTACGACGAGACCAGACCGTAAGGAGCATTTGCTACCCTTTGTCTTAGGGTCAGTAACAGAAGTTTATCAAGTTTTGGAGCCAAATGCTGTTATTCTTGTCATAGAATGGTTTATATTCACCATAAATCAAGCGACGCAAAGGTCAATCGCTATATCAATCGCTACCCAACTCCAGTGATGCCCAATGGTTCCCTATATACCAATCCTCCTGAACCAAACTCCGCTCTAAAATAAAACCAATACAAATGAAAAGTTCATGCAATGATGTCTATCAGATCTCCGATGCCAATCTTCTATGACTGGTGTTCATGAATCACCCTTCACTCAGGGTAATTCAGTAGGCGTGGGCTTCTTCCCCCCTTCATACACATCCGAGGCACTCTCCGAATGCAGCTCGGCGGCGAAAGCCTGCCCCTGGTGTGGCACGGGGTGACCCGACACCGGGTGCCCGGACATGGGAGGCGGCGTCGGCTGGTTGGGGATGTACACGGACGAAGGTGGGAAGCCGCCCTGGGTGTGTATCGCCTGGTTATAGTGAGGATACAGCTGGCCATTCACCTGCTGCTGCGCGTACGGGTCGTACGGCATCTGCGTGGCGACCGAGGGCGTGGACGTCGCAGTGTACGACGACATGTGCGAGCCGCCCATCTTGGACTCGGGGTAGTGTCCGCCGTACTGCTCATAAGACCCCTTGGCCGAGGCACTCTGCTGCCTCCGCCTGCGCCAGAAGAAGAACGCCAGGCCGGCGATGAGTGCGAACCCGAGCACGGCACCGACCGCAATCCCGACCTTGGCGCCCGTGGGCAGCCCACTGTTACCAGCACTACGCTGCTCCGCGGTGAGGAAGGGCGCGGCCTTCTCCTTCTTGTCGTTCAACCTAGCCGCGAAGATCTTGCCGTCCGGGCACCCGGTCCCCGTCTCGCACGGGTTGACGGAGCAGCAGCCCATGAAGGGGTTCGGCTTGGCCTCGGCGCAGGTCCACCACTGCACCTCGGGGGCGTCGCTGACGCAGAGCTGGGGCTCGAGGGCGTTGAAGGAGTACTTGTCGAAGGAGGTGTACTTGAGGTTGTCGTCCGGGCATTCGCCCGTGGCCGTCTTGCACGGGTCGACGGAGCAGCAGCCGACGAACTGGGTGGGCTTGTCGTAGCAGACGTAGAAGGACCCTCCCTTGGGGCAGGTGGCGCCCAGTGACTTTGCGACCTCGTCGGACATGGTGGATGGGATGGTCTGTCGGTATTATGGGATGTTATGGGATTAAGGTATTAGTGAATTATCGACGCTGTGGCCTCTGCGGTCGGTCGTCCTGAGTGAAAGTGTCTTGATACAAGCACAAGACTAGACAAGACTGAATTACGTAGAGGCTGGAAGCGTGTAGCGAACGAAAAGAAGACAAAGAAAGGTAAGGGAGAGAAGGGAGGAAAGATGGGACGATTAAGACCGGCGGGAGGCGACCTTAATTGAACAGCTAGAGGAGCCAGGTCAGGGGATCGGAAAGATGTAAGAACATAGAATCCCGCCAGGCTGGGTACGCGGGCCCAGACTTGGCAGGACGAAATAAGAATATCATTACTGTGTCCATCGCATCTTGGAGTAATACGGCGACCATCACCACCATGAGCAGGCGGCGGGCCCGGACCAAGCCGGACTAGGACCGTGTTAAAAGGTGGAGAAGAGCTTGATCAGCACGAGAGACAAGGGAGAATAGGCCTGGGGATTGATCCATCTTGATTCCATGCCCCATCTGCAGGGCTATGTTGTGTGCTGCGCAGTGACAAGTGCTTACCGGCCTTCTAGGTGAGGTGGGGACTAATTAGCTCGGAAAAGCCTCCCTGTATTGCCATGCAGGGCTAAATAAGGATAATAAAGTTGGTGTTGTCCAACGAACCTACAAAGGCTACACTGCCGCCAGCCTTGTGGGATGGATGCAACTTTGTTGCCGTTGCATTGGAGCTGATAGATCGTGTGGTAGCGGCTGCAATCATGCCAGTCAGTACAGCATGTTCCAGTAACTCATTCAATACATAAAATGGAAGATTTTGATCACTCTGGTACAGCGACAGGGTGCGGACTCTGGGAGTGGCAGGGTTCATAGATCGTCAGCCAACATGTCCTCGGATACGTCCCATTTTAGACATAATCTGCTGCTTGTTAATTCTAGGTACTGGAGATGAGCAACAATGCTAGAACACAACCCAAGCCTAAAAGCCAAATTCAATGTAGACTCCACCAAGGAGCATTTAGGGCAGGTGTTCGTCCCAGTTACAGCGCAGGATCATCATATTGCTGTCGGGTTGTAGGGCTGATGGCATGAAACACCGGGCCAAATGTTAAAATTCTGATTCAGAATCGGGTATCACCTTGTTCCCCAAATGAGATGGTTGAAGCCTTGAAGGGCACAGGAGCATGGTGACTGGCAGTGGCACATTCCCTTGCTGGTTCTTGGAGGATTATTGCCGTGCCACATGGTAATAACCAACGACGAAGCTTTGAAGCCTTGCCTTCTTCCCATGTCAAGACGTATCCCAGCACCGGGATGTATAAAAAAAAATCGAGATTAAGATGAACCGTCGATCCTCCTCGAGGCCCTTGAAGCTGTCGATACGCTTGAGTGAATTGGGTTGGACGAGCCGAAGACAGGCTTCAGCATCGAGGCAGGCCTGTGAGAACTGCAAATTAGGTGAGGCCTTCTGAAGGCCCCGGTAGAGGCTTGTGCTGGCGGTGGGGCTTCTGTATTTTTAGAACACGAGGTGCCTGTAATCTACTAGCGCAGTTACTGTCAGCCAAAATTGAATCTTGGAAGGCTCTTCAAGGTGCACTGCCATTCTGTTGCCAACGCCGTTGCTGCCAATGTCCTTTGGTAGACTTGACCTGGAAACTAATAAGGAACAGGCAAGGTGCAAGAGGATGGCAAAGATAACATCTATTGGCTTTGTGGTTGATTTCCGGATCGTCTGTTCGTCCCAACGCCATGACATCACGACTGGCCACCAGCCACCACCATCGAGGCTCCAGGTGGCGCATCGGCCGCCCACCAACCAATCCATCCAGGTGCATCTCCTCACCCAACCCGCTATCATCTATCTCTATTGAGCGAATGAGGCATGGTGTTGGGTCTCTTTCAGCTCCCATCCACTACGGACGCACGTCATCTCGGCCGGTTTGTTGGTTGCAGATGGATTTGGTGAGATCCACTGCAGAATCCCGATGGTGATACCTACAGACAGTATTACTGCCTCTTCACAGGTAACCAGCCAACACGGCCCGTAAGCCAGGCCAAGTGCTGAACATGGTAGGTCAAGCCAGTCTCACCGTATTACCTCTGGCTGTTGCTCTAGGCGGTTTACTCCAATTCCGCCCGACACCTAGATTGAGTACAGGCAGAGGCATTGGCTGGCCCTCATGCTGCGGTTTCACATCCCGACAAACCTCCAACCAGAAACCCATCCACCCAAATAATCGTACGAAAATGGGCAAACTCGGGGCCCTTTTCATGCACAAGATGCATTCGACAGTCCTACTACTGCCTCATTGAGAGGCGCCAGGTCATCAGGGGAGGCTTCGAGTGGGGGACCGGCGATGGAACTAGCGGTCTGATCATCGCCGCCGGTCTGTTTTTTTGGCTGGTCCAGGGCGGTGGTTGGTGGTATTTTCACATGTCACCCAGATGAAAACGTCCTCGATGAAATTTCTGTCCCAGCTCTGACTCGATACTACATATTATATCTCACATCTTTGTATATCCTGTCAATTGGCGTTGCGCTCAGCGTAGATTCAATCATCTGCTTTTCTTTTCTTCCTCCAAGCATCTGTGTGTTGTTGCTCGTTATAGCGGGTCTCCCCTGGCCAGACATTCTATCATTTTTGTAAATAAATGGTTGCGTCATAAAGGAGGTTTGCGATGGGCGCCTCAACAGACGACGCCAAAGTCAATCGACAGGAACAACTTCAACCACAAGAAGGAGACCACAGGGAGCATTCAGGCCCTCGCAAGGTCAAATCGGTCATCAGCAAGGCCGAGAGTGCTGTCAAATTCTCTCTCCAGGCCCAGAAGCTCTCTCTAGAGCAGCCACAGCAGACAAATGAGACACCCACCAGCCCATCAGAGTCTCACCTGCAGCATCCATCCGCCGTCGCTACCCAGGCGCATTTCGTCACTCCTCACGACCCCGTCATTATCACTGCCGATGGAAATCGTCTCCCCGGTGTGCCTCTTGAGGAAGCGCACAGGCTGAATTCCCTGCGAGATGAGCTAGAGGGCCAGCCGGAAACCATAGAGATCAAGGAGGCTGCTGACGGCAAGACCATAGCCAACACATCTGGAGAAAATGACCAGTCGCATGTCATCGAGCTCCCCAAGAACCAGAAGGGGCACAAACTTCAGGAAGAGGAGAATGGAAATGATGGCACGCTACAGAGCACCAGGCCACCTTCACACACGAACCCGCTGTTCCCTCCGCTACCGCTGTACGGGCCGCCATCCTTTCTACGAGACCTACAATGCGCCTTCTTTCGGTTCTCCTCGTTCTTCCTGAGCCTGGCCTTTCTGGGCGTCATTGTATTAGGGTCACTATTCACCAGCATACCACTCCTATGCAAGAAGATCTTCTACACGCTGACCTTCAGGGACCTGGACAAGGAGCGCCCCTTCTACGCCGAGGAGATACGCCGAGAAAGGGTGAGAAAGGAAAAAGCCCAGGCTTGGAAGAAGATGCACTCTTCAAGCACGAAAGAAAGCAAAGCCGACTTCCCCCCTGACGAATACCCGCCCACCGAGGGGGGGCCAGACCCCATCAAGTGCGACGTGGGCTACTACGCCCGCCGCGTCGGCCTCGACGTCGAGGCCTGCCAGGTCCAGACCGAGGACGGCTTCATCATCGACCTGTGGCACGTCTACGACCCGAGCGAGTACACCCCGCTCACCCCCGCCGAGCGCGCCCACCGCGGCCCGGACGTCTTCCAGAGCTCCTCCCGCACCCGCCTCCGCGACCCTGCCCGCAGGCCCAAGTTCCCCGTCCTCCTCATGCACGGCCTCCTCCAGAGCGCCGGGGCCTACTGCTGCAACGACGACGCCTCCCTCGCCTTCTGGCTCTGCAAGTCCGGCTACGACGTCTGGCTCGGCAACAACCGCTGCGGCTTCACCCCGCGCCACGTCCTCCTCCGCTACGCCGACCCGCGCATGTGGTGCTGGAACATCCGCCAGATGGGCGTCTTCGACCTCCCCGCCCTCGCCTCCCGCGTCCTCTCCGAGACGGGCTTCGCCAAGCTCGGCCTCGTCTGCCACTCCCAGGGGACCACGCAGGCCTTTGTCGCCCTCGCCAAGGAGCAGCGGCCCGAGCTGGGACGCAGGCTGACCGTCTTCTGCGCCCTCGCGCCCGCCGTGTATGCGGGCCCCCTCATCGGCAAGATGTACTTCAAGTTCATGCGCGTCATCTCCCCCGCGCTCTTCAGGCTCATGTTCGGCATCCACGCCTTCATCCCCTTCATGATGCGCATGCACGCCGTGCTGGACCCCCGGCTGTACGGGTGGCTGGGCTACAAGGTCTTCTCGTTCCTGTTCGACTGGACGGACGAGCGGTGGGACCGCGGGCTGCGGGACCGCATGTTCCAGTTCGCGCCCGTGTATGTCAGCGCCGAGTCGATGAGGTGGTGGCTGGGCAGGGAGTGCTTCGCCCAGCACAAGTGCATCCTCGCGACCAAGGAGGTGGTGCGGGAGGAGGACCGCATGGACGAGGAGTACGAGAGGTCGTCGTCTTCGTCTTCTGGTGATGACACGCCCGGTCCCGGCGGTCGCAGGTCCGCGCCGTCGCCTGTGGGGTCGTCGCCGTCGCAGAGCCCTGAGCGGTCGTCCTCGGGGACGGGCGCGTGGTACGACGAGCAGGCGCCCCCGTTTGCATTCTGGGTGTGTGGGCAGGATGACCTGGTGGACGGGCGGCGGCTGCTGCGGCGGTTTGAGAGGGGCCGGGAGCCGTTTGTCGAGGTCGTGCATAGCAAGATCATCCCCGAGTACGAGCATCTGGATGTCATCTGGGCGATGGACGCGCCTGACCAGGTGTTCAAGGAAGTCAGGGAGGTGCTGTGGAAGACGTGCGAGTTTCGAGATATATGCCGGGTGCCGACGGGGTGCGAGGAGCTCTAGGAGATGGAGGTAGAGGGTATGAGAGCCGACTGGTGATGCATCTTGTCAATTTTCTATGTGTTTTTCCGTTTTCTTTGATATTCAGGGGTATATAATGACAGGCTGGTGAGCAGTATATAGTGACATGACGAATTTACGTATGCAAGAGATTAGCGAGGAGTTTAGATACATACAGCTATAGAGGCTATAGAGTGGATAGTTGAGTACCGCCAATGGTTAAAGAGATTATGATATCCATAGTACAATAAACACGCATATGATTGTGGATTGAACATAACAAGCCTAGGAACTCATACCTTTTCCAGATAGAAGAGAGCGATCTCATACAGATGCGCTGCCGTAGTGTCACTCAATAATGCAGTGGCTGACAGTTCCAGCCTGTTAGTGGAACTCAATCCCCAAGCTGAGGATTTCCCCACGTTTTGGCTGTTTAGGCTCCCCGGCTTTGGGCCATTTACAGCGCCCCAAAGCCCCCAAGCGGAGTTGGTGCGGGGTTAGCTCCAACGGCCCACAGCACGAATCCCTATCTCCCAGGCCGCTGGCCAATAGGAGAGACCTCGCTGCGTCATCCAGCGATTCCCCGAACTCCGTCTGATACTCCGTAACCGAAACACACCGCGGCTTGTGCTGGCTACACCCAAATCTCGGCCTGGCTGGCGTCGGGCTTGCAGGCGCCATGCCGCTCTCGGATCCCAGTTGGGAGCTACCCCAGCCTGTTCCCAATCGAGCCCCAATTTGTCGTGATCGGCTTCATCTCGATGTCTCCGACTTTTCCTCCCTCTTTCTTCCTCTTCTCTACTCTTTCCTGGTCCCATCTACCGTGCGATTGACCGAGGCAACTTTCCCGTATATTTAAGGTCTCCCCCTTCGTCGCATAGCAGAGACCAACACACAGCCAGGTGATTGCCCACCGTAACTCCGCGCCATGGCGATCAAGTCCCAATTCGCAGACGTCGACATTCCCAACGTCGACCTCTGGACTCTGTACCTGGAGGGGAAAAGGGACTATCCAGATGATCACAGTAAGTGATGCCCCCCAATTCCAGAAAGACCTTTCATAACTGACGCTTCCACCACCAGTCCTCCTCGTGGACGGCGACACCGGCCGCCCCTACACCTTCGCCGAGATAAAGCGCCTCTCCATCGCCTTCGGCCAGGGCCTCGTCCACTCCCTCGACTGGCGCAAGGGCGACGTCCTCGCCTTCTACACCCCCAACTGCGTCGACACCCCCGTCGTCAACCTCGGCCTGCACTGGGCCGCCGGCATCGCCTCCCCGGCCAACCCGACCTACACCGTCGACGAGCTCGCCCACCAGCTCAAGGACTCGGGCGCCAAGGCCCTCATCACCCAGCGGCCGTTCCTCGACGCCGCGCTCGAGGCGGCCAAGGCTGCGGGGATCCCGCGCCAGAGGGTCCTGCTCATGGGCGACGCGAGGGACGACAAGGGCGAGTTTAAGCACTGGACGGAGGTGACGGCGGAGGGGGCTTGGCTGAAGCCCCGGAAGCCGCAGGTTGATCCTACTGTTGATACGGCGTACCTGGTGTATAGCTCGGTAAGTTGAGAAAGCATTGGAAGGGGAGACGCAAAGTGAAGCTAACCGGTTGCAAAGGGCACCACCGGCCTGCCCAAGGGCGTCTCGCTCACCCACCGCAATCTGGTCGCAAACGCCATGCAGTCATACAAGATCGACACCAGGTCTTTGAATTGGGACGTAGACGCCCAGCTCGGCGTCCTACCCTTCTTCCACATCTATGTAAGACCATGCCCATCTCACAACGCTCTTTCGTACACTAACCAAGCTCCTCTTTCCCCAGGGCCTCTCGGTCGTGCTCAACGTAGCCTTCGTCGCCGGCGCAAAGTGCGTCATCATGCCCCGCTGGGACCTCGACAAGGCCTGCAGCCTCATCCAGTCCCACCGCATCACCGTCGCCTACGTCGCCCCCCCCATCATCCTCGCCCTGGGCAAGCAGCCCGCCGTCGCAAAGTACGACCTGTCGACCATCAAGTGGATCAACTCGGGCGCCGCGCCCCTGGGGCCTGAGCTGGCCGAGGCCGTCTGGAACCGCCTCAAGGTAGGCGTGAAGCAGGGGTACGGCTTGTCGGAGACGAGCCCGACCATCATGACGCAGTTTGCGGACGAGTGGTCGCGGTTCCAGGGGAGTGTGGGCAAGCTGCTGCCGAACATGGTGGCGAGGATTGTTGATACTGATGGGAAGGACCTGCCCAATGGTGAGGTATGTTTCTTTCGAATCCTCCCCATCTGCGCTATAGAGTGATGACGGTATGCTGATGTTTCGTAAATAGCATGGAGAGTTGCTCGTCAAGGGCCCCAATGTATTCGCGGGCTACTGGAACCGGCCGGACCTGCAGGCTGATACCTTCACATCCGATGGGTGGTTCAAGACCGGCGACGTTGCGTATGTCGACGAGCATGGCAACTTCTTCATTACCGACCGTATCAAGGAGCTCATCAAGTACAGTACGTTAAGCGCCCCTCTTGCAAAGCGTTCCTGTCTGTGTCTAACAACTACATTCATAGAGGGTTTCCAAGTCGCACCTGCAGAGCTAGAAGACAAGCTCCTGGGGAACGAAAACGTCGCCGACGTAGCGGTCATTGGTGTGTGGGACGACGCATTGCACACCGAGGTCCCCCGAGCATACATCGTTCCCACTCCGGGCGTTAAAGCCAACGAGGACCTAGCGAAGCAGATTTCGGACTGGCTCACCGGCGAAGTGGCACCGCCCAAAAAGCTCCGAGGTGGTGTGAGGTTTGTGGACGTCATTCCCAAGTCGCCATCTGGAAAGATCCTGAGGAGACTGCTCAAGGACAAGGCGAAGAAGGAGGCGAAGGAGGCCGCAGGGCCCAAGGCCAAGCTATAAATTAGAGGCGGCATAACAATAGATTTCAAGGCCAAGGGAGTTTTCAGGGGCGGGGGACTCGTTCAAAGCTTGTTCATGAGACAGCCTATTTTGTATATACCCAGAAACTGACTGCGCCGCATCTGACTTTATCCTACATCAGAGCATGGTTTATACTTTATACACACCGTTTATAGTACATTTCTTCATAATTCTTTATCAACCGCACCCTGTTCAACCCATGCGCTCGGCCTCGTCGAGGAGCTTCTCCACGGTGAACCTCTTATCACCTGAGGCGAACCAGTCCAGCAGCCTCTTCCTCTCGTCAGCCCGCACCCTCCTCTCCCCGGTCAGCGCGGCCGAATCGCCCTCCCACCCGCCGTAGAACCGCTGCAGGCACATCACCAGCCACTTGACCTGCTCGGGCGTCACCCCCCTGTCCTCCATCAACTGGCCCTGCATCAGCACGAGCCCCTTCTCGTCCGCCAGGTCGAGGTGGTGCGTGACGGTGGTGTGCGGCTGCGCGAACTCCCCGCGGTTCTTGAACTCGGCCAGCTGGGTGAAGAGCACGGTGCTCGTCCTCGACGCAGCGTCGAACGTCCACTGCAGGAAGTGGATCTCGGCGCCCTGGCCCTCGTGCGGCACGGGGAGGACGAACTGCGGCGCCGACCTGGCCGCGTCCTCCATGGCCCGATACGTGGCCGTGGGGATGACGGCGCAGACGTTGTTGGGGGAGTTCGCGTGGCGGAGGCGCCAGATGGCCGTGAGCTCCTTCTCGGGGAGGAGGCGGGACTTTTCGAGGTCGATGATGTCGTCTAGGCCCTTTACTGCCTTCTTCTCGGGTGATCCGGGAGGGGGAGGGGGTGGTTGTTGGCGTGGCTTGGCCTCAGTCTTTGGGACGGCGGCAGCGGGAGGGGGAGTGCTGGTTTGGGCGCCGGCGGACTTCAGGACCTGGGCTTCGGGGAATTCCACGGCGTCCTTGCGGTGTATCTCGCCAATCTTCTTGCTGTATGCCGTCTTTAGCTCGTCGATGCTCGAGAATCCCTCGTTCTTGGCCTTTTGGTCGAGCTTCTCTCGGTACTTGTCGATTGTTGACTGTGCTCGCCAGGTCGAGGCTAGGAATCGGACATCGTGGACTTGGGCCCATCGGCGCTGGTTGAATGTTCTGGTGGAGCCCACGGCGTACCGGCTGATGTGCCGTAGGGCTTGTGTCCGGAGGGCAGACATGGCAAGTATGGCGGCAATGACGAGGAAGTGTCTCGTTGTCGAAGCAGGTAGAAGATGGATAATTGTTCGCGGAGTCGGAGATCATTATCAATTGTGGGGCTCTCGATAGAGAAATTACCTACCCTAGACTGTGAATATCGCATTATGACGTGGGTTTGTCTGAGGAAATTTAGGTCAGTCTGCATGAAGACAAAGGTGGACTATGTAATTTATTGATATCTAATTCTATTTCCTAGCAAATATCTGTGATTTTTGAATTAAAAAAAAATTCAGGCTGAGGAGGCTCAACCTCCATCTCGAGTTGTATGTAATCGGAGCTATTCCACTGGCAGATCACTAAAAATGCCCCGCCTCAGATTTACCCGCCAAATTCTGGTGGTGTGCTTCACATGCTTCGACATTCCTCCAAATACGAGGCTACTGTGATATCCCGAGTAGATTGTATCAATTCTTCAGATTCTCAATCTTCTCATCCAATAAATTCACGGCAGCTCCCTCGCGTGAGGACCAGGACCGACCAGGGTTAGGACCAGGCCTCAGAGCCCCGCGGCACTCGCCATGGCCGATTTTCGGCAGCTTGCCCTCGAGTATGTCCTGGCCGACGATGAAGCCAAGCTCACATCTCTTGCCAAGCAGGCTGCCTCTGGTAAGATCTTGGACTGCTGGAACTACTATGCCCTTGTACTGACACATGAACGGTAGAACTGCAGGGTGCTGCCGCCCCCACCAACCCAGTCGCCAGATGGGTAGAAGCGGTTCAGCCATGGATGCCTGGGAGTCAAGGGGATGATGAGATGGCCGATGGGGACTCTCCAGACTGGACAGCCAGAGCCAAAGGTGATTGATGGCCCATGCCTAAGCCAAAGGCCTGTTATGAGTGCATTGCTGACCTGCTGTAGCCCTGGAGTTCCTGTCACGAACACTGGACTTTCTCGGAACGGACGTCCTGAAACCAAGTCAGAGTATGACTCTCTACCTTCAGAGGAACTTTATTCATGTATGAGTTGCCACGACTAACCGTTGAGATAGTCAAGCTGCTGGTAAGCTTCTTCGGAGCCATGTTCGATATTGATCACAAAGCGGGCATCTTGGCATCCGCAACTGCACTGTCTAGAATCTCTGCCATGAAGTCCTTCCAACCTACAAGTGCCAACGACATCATCCAGAAAGTGTGCACCTTGAAGGATGACTTCCCCCGCCAGGTCGCAAAGACCCGCCTGGCAGTCTTTGAGCTGCTCAAGTTTCTCATCACCTCGCCCGAGACTTCCAAGGCTCTTCAGTCGCGCCATGGATCCTTAGCCAGCTTCATGTCCGACCTGCTACGTCTGTGCCAGAATGAGAGAGATCCGGCAAACTTGATGGTTTGGTTTGAGATATTAACGTACTTCCTCCGAGAGTACTCCCCATCCAAGGAAATCTTAGAGGAGGTCTATAATACCTTCAAGGCATACTTCCCCATCAGTCTGCCGAGAACCTCTCCTACTGGAATCACACCCGACCAGCTCAAGCTGTCGCTAAGGGCATGTTTCTCCTCGAACAAGGACCTGGCACCACTTACCTTCCCCTTTCTGTTGGGTAAGTTGGACCAGGGAGACGGTGTCACCGCAAATGTCAAGGTTTGTATAATTGGGCATGTCTTGCTGAATCTGTGCTAATCGGTAACCTAGCTTGATGTCCTTAAAACAATCCAGGCTTGTATCGAGGAGTACCAGAACCCACACGACTCTGTCACCCCTTACTTTAATCAAATTTGGGGCAGCTTGAAGTACGAAGTGAGGAATGGTGAGGTGGAGGACTCAATATGGGCAACGCTCGAGGTCCTCAAGGCCATCGCTGTGCGACTCGAAGGTGAGGACCTCCGTGACTACGCCCTGACAGTCACGCGTGACTGCGTCAACGATCTTTCGAGCACGCTCTACACAGCGCCAGCTGGTCGTCTGCTGGTCAGTGTATTAAGCGCAGGTCCCGCTGCATTCGTCCTCATGGCCGCCCCAGCCGTCACCCACATCAAGGAAAACCTGCGACACCCAAAGGCGCCCGCGCACAGCCGAGACTTGCTCAAGCTCTTGCAAGTGATCCTCGAGACACGCATCTTCCTGGTCGACGCTAAGATGACGACTTCTGAAAGGAGCGATTTCAGCGCCATCGACAGCATCTTCAAGACGCTTTATGAAGACGTTTTCCGGAACCCGGTTCAGTTAGGAGCTAAGGAGGGAGCCACCGAGGATGACATTAGGCTTGCCACTGAAGCTGTCCAAGGAGCTGGAGCACTGGTTTGCCAGCGCTCATCCGGGTCTATCGCCACCTCTGATGGAACGGTGGCAGCTAACGACGAGAACGAGAAGTTGTTGCCGGAAAACACGTGCTCTCAGATTTGCGACTCCTTATTTTCCATTATTACGTATGGAAATAGTGCCTCGGGACAAGCTTCTCGTTCGAAAGACTCGGACGATCTTGTCAATTCTACCACAACCGCGCTGCAGAGAGCTGTCACGGCGAATCCCAAAGCCTTCCCAACCCTAGTCGAGAAGGCATTTGAGATTGTTGCCGCATCACCCAGTGAGCAGGATAAGGCTGCATCTGCTCATGTCTTTGGCTCTCTTCTTGCTTACGTAGGCTGCTCAAAGCTGCCCCAGAAGCCGGCAGAAGGTCTGCGAAATTATCTGACGCTGGTGAAATCTCTGCAAGTGGATATTGTCTCGACCTCTAACGGTAGTTTGTCCGTTTGGGGTTCATTGGTCGCAAGTATCCAATCCGCTGCCCGCTATTTCAACGAAGCATTCCAGGAGTTGAAGCCAGAACGTAGCGGCGCCTCCTGGGACCCTTCCTGGGCCTCGGCCATCGTGTCCAAGTATCCTGGACTCGACCTGCTCGATCGAAATGCCGTGTTGGATGGATTCAATGTATCCGGATCCTTGTCTGTGTCCGAGGCCTACTCTGATTTCCTCCTCGCTACCCTCTACATCGTTCGTCAGTTGTACCAAAAGGCAACAAAGGTCACAGAGGTTGCTGGCGTCAAGGCGCTGCAGCTGGATGACAAGTTTAACGGATCCGAGGGCCCTTTGGAACACCAATACTTGCACTTTATAAGTGCTCTGGCTGGGTTTGCCTTACATGAAAGTAGTGAGGAGCAACAGCTCGGTCTCAAGGCACACGAGTTCGCCCTCAATCTGTTCCACGATGATGTTGTCTCTGCCACTAATGGTGCCATTGACGAGCAATCCTCTTCCTGGGATTGGCTCATCGTTGGAAGGCCGAACACCCTGTCTCTTGGAGTGCTGGATGCCCTTCATCCCTCATCCGTGTCCCATCTGGTAAGTTAGCCTATTTGCTCGTTTCCGTAACCGACTTACTGACCAAATTCTCTAGTTCGAATCTGGTGTTGCTCAGCACGTGCTACTACGCGGTGTGACCATCTCTACTGGTGCTGCAGACTCCGTTTCTAGAGCAGTATTTAGGTCTATCTTGACTATCCTCTCTAACAAACACAAAATCGAGACGGTTGAGCCATTGATAACCCAGTTGAACCAACAAGCACAGGCTGTTTTACAGCAGACCCAAAATGCCGTTGACGAGAACAGCAGCTCAATCTACACGAAATCCCTATCCCTTTTCGCCATCGCCGCTGGAGTCCTCCGTCGGTTCTGTGGAAAGCAAATCCAGCCACTCCTCAGACTGCTCAGCGAAGTCCCCACAGCCGGCGCCACTGGCAAGCAGCTGAGCCAGCACCTGGAGCTGGTCGTCGCGCCGCAGGCGATCCTCGCCAAGGAGAACTTTGCAGTCGTGAAACCCCTATGGATGCAAAAGATTTACTTCCAACTGGTTAAACCTTTACTGGAGGCTGCGCTGGCGCCACCGGCCGCGGATGCCCCCGTCAACAGCAAGGCGAGCATCAACGTCGGTGTCCTCTCCCTCATCAAGCACATGAACTTCCCCATCTACGAGGAGGACTCCGAGAAGGTCATGCGAATCGCCATCTCGACCGCGCAGAGCGATGCGGCCGGCGTCGCTGACACCAGGGCTGCTCTGGAGGTGCTGAAGAACATCGTCGTTGAGTCCCCTGATAAGGGTGAGTCCCATGCCCGCAGTATCATCGACATCTGCGTCGGCGAGATTTCTCCCAAGAAGACCTCGCGCGAGCGCGATGCCGAGACTGGCAAGATCGCCATGGAGATCATGGTCGGACTGCCGCGGTTGTTCGATTCGCGGCATCTCCTCCCCCACCAGCCCCAGGTCGAACGGGAGTTGGCACTGGCCTGTGGAAACCCCGTGCGGGAGTTGCGAAGGCTGGCGAGGGTGGCAAGGGCAGCGTGGTCGGATCTAAAATAGAGCTGGGCATATAGCTTAACCGGGTACATATGTGTATAAACGCTGGTGTATGGGGGCTTGATTCTAGTGCGTTACATAGAGGACGGAGCATCGGTCGGGTTGGATACGTCAAGTAAGAATGCGCATCCTAATAGCATCGTCTCTTGCAAACCTTTTGAGAATCCATCAATTCGAAAAAACGTTACTCGTGAAAACAAAACCTGACGGTTGTATTGAAACCCTATTTTCCGCTCCCAAATGCAGCGTACTCTTACACGATTGAAACCCGTATTCTGTCCGCTACCCATAAATCAAATTCACACCTTTTTTTACGCCTTTCTCCTCTTCCCGCCGGCCTTCTTCTCAGTCCCCGTAGCCTCAGCCTCCTTTTCCGAGCCGGCGTTGAGGACCGCGCTCAGCAGCTCTGGGTTCTCGCTCAGGAGCTTTTCGGACGCGGCCTGGATGCGCTTCGAGTCGGCCTTGCCGACGACGGAGATGTTGGTGGCGAGGAACTCCTGGAAGGGCTTGGGGACGAAGAAGCCGGACTCGTTGAAGAACTCGCTGAAGGGCTTGGAGATCTTGAACGCCTTGATCTTGCCGGTGGACTTGTCCTGGATCGCGATCTTGAGCCGGTACACGGGTTCCATCTTCTTCGTCTCGCTGGCAATGAAGAGCTGTAATTTGGACAAGTTAGTTATGGTCGAAGCTGAGGTTTGCTTAGAGAGACGTACATCATCGCCCGAGGGGGCTTTCCCCTGGTAAATTGTGCCCTGCTCGACCTTCCACGTCCACAGGGTGAGGGCGCCGCTAAGGACGGTGTATATGGCGACGGCGACGGCCGTGTAGAGCTTGGTCGACTCCCAGCCGAGCTTGTAGTCCCAGAGGGCGCATGCGGCGGCGAGGAGGAAGGACGAGTAGCCGAGGGCGAGGCGGACGTCGATCATGGAGTGTGACTGCTTGAATTTGATGGAGTTGAGGTAGTTTGCGATGGCATCGTCGGCGGCGTTTTTGAGATCTGTGTAAGAGAGGAATTGTTAGTTTTGGTCGCTGGAGGAGCTCGAACGCGACTTGTAGGTGGTGGTGGTGATATGCGTACCTGGGAGGTTGTAGAGGGTGATTTTCTCAGCCATTGTGGGCGGATATGCGAGAGAGATCTCGACTAGTAGATTGCGAAGAAGAAATAGCGAGTAAAAAGAAAGAAAGAGGAGGGAACAAGCTGGGGTATCGTGAGGATCTCGAAGTTGGTTTGCTGGCTAATGCGATAATCGATACGTGGTGTTGAAGGGACCGAGTGGGGCCTCCACCCAAGTGGGAAAGCAAGCTGTCATTTTGGCTGTTCCTTCGGCGCCGGCGGAAACCAGCCTCCGACCACCGCTCAATTGGAGACAGAACTCGACCGTCATCATCTTCCATCTGGCACCTCAATCCATCCAATCCGCCGTTCGATCGCGACCCAGGCTTCTTCCTCCGCAACCGACACCATGGCGCAAGTTCCCGTGCAGGTGATCGTCAGAGATCCCCAGTTGTTGTAGGTACCACCCTCTGCCGCTGAGGCCCCCTCCCAAGTGAACACCACAGCTAACCATGGCCGCTCAACAGCTACTGGATCCTCTTCCCGATTACCATTGTGATGGTACTCACCGGTGTCCTCCGACACTATGCCTCCGTGATGCTCGCCCCCGCGGCCAAGAAGATCGACGCAAAGACCATGCGCGAACAGCGCTCGCTGGCCCGCGGCATCGCTCTCCGCACCAACTACCACTCCCTCACCAAGAAGTCCTTTGAAGCCCGACGCGAGACCCTGACCGCCAACTACGAGTCCGGCGCATACCTGAAGGAGCCTGACAGGAAGGGTCAGCCTCCCGCCAATCCTCTGTCCGACCCCTCCCAGATGGACGGCATGATGGGCATGATGAAGAATAACATGGCTATGATCATCCCCAACACCCTGATCATGAGCTGGATCAACGCCTTCTTCAGCGGCTACGTTATCAGTACGTTGCCCACCAAGCATTGCCTTTATGGACTTTCAGCTAGACAGCCCACTAACGCCTGAAAATAGTGAAATTGCCCTTCCCCCTCACCATCAAGTTCAAGAGCATGTTGCAGGCTGGTGTGCAGACCAAGGACATGGATCCCCGATGGATGTCTAGCATCAGTTGGTACTTCCTCTGCATCTTCGGTCTGCAGTTTGTCTACGTGTTTCTTCTTGGAAGCGACAACGGTACGTCTTCATCCCCCTGATGCTGTTAAGGCTACAATACTGACTGCAATAAACCCAGCCGCCAGCCAAGTTGCGCAGCAAATGCAAGCTCAGCAGATGCCCAACCCCATGGGTGGACCTGGACAGGACCCCGACAAGCAATTCAAGGCCGAGGCTGAGAACCTTGCCGTCGTCGACCACTACTCTGTGTTGGATGACGTTACGGACCGATTTCTAGAGGGTATCAAGGCGTAGGTGGATTGTTTGTTCTAAATTCTCTTTCAAAGGACATAGAGTATCAAAAGCTGCGCTGAATATATTGTTCCGATCCAATGATCTCGGTTCATTAGTTGTCCCACCAGAGACAGACACCAAGCCCTTCCCGCGCCATACTTCCTTTGATTTTGTAGGGCGCTATTGCGTTTTCCTCCTCCTCCGCGCCGCCAGCTTGGCTGGGTCCTGCAGGAGTCTGGTCGTGCCACTCCTCGTCGATGACCTGGAAACGTACCATTTCGTTGGTGTCGTAGTACAGCCTCACGTCGTCCATCTTCCAAACCCAGAGCTGGTCGCTATGGCTGCTGCACAGGGGTGTCAGTGCTATTCCTCACGGTTGCGAGGGGGGAGTGCGTACTACTCAGAGCCAGCAGGCAGTTCCTCGAAGGGGATGAATATGTCATTGAAGAAGATAGTAAATAAGTTGATGCCCGAAGGCGTTGAGCTTTTGATCTTGCCTAGCATCACCTCTCCCTTGAAGGGACGGAAGACAATCATGCGAAACTCAACTGAGAGTCGGAAAAAGTGTTAGTAATAATGATTTTCTTGTAGAAGGAAACCAAAACCGGATTGTATGTCTGTTACCATTTACATTGACCTCGCCTGTGCCGTGGCCAATCAGGCCCTCTGAGGTCCAGAGAATGTCATAAAGAGAGACACATAGTCCAATTTTTTGTAGCACCTGTAAGACGATGGTGAGATTGAAGTTTAAAGCCAATTGGATGAGGCGGGAGCTTACCTTGTTTGCGTATTTGGCGTTGATATTGTCCTCAATGGCCTCTATGCTGGGCTTGGAGAAGTCGGCTGCTTTAATCTGAACCAGATCGGCGATTTTGGTCTACACCAGGACACGCAGCATGAGCATGAGTATGAGCCACGGCGGTCATCATAAGGCGACGGGGATTTGATTGGTGGGGTAGCTCTGCGTCCAGTCCAGCGCATACGTACCAAGATGAACATGTTGGCCAGCTACAGGCCAGAAGCCCCGGGGGATCACAATGAGCCGTAGGATGCTGTGATGGACGGAGGCGTCATCTCCCAGTCTCTGGAGTCGCGAAGATGTGAGTCAGTGCGAGCAGCTCACGAATGACCAATGTTCAGCTGGTCGCCTGCAAAAAGCGACTTTTGCTCGACGATTGTCGCTGAATATTCCTCGGCAGAAAAGAACTTTGATGCATGCGCTAGGCTGCTGTAGGACTAGTGGATATCTCACCGCTTTCTGTATTAGGACCAGCTCTCACTGATTCACAGCAGGAGCGACCACAAAGCGCGGCTTCCCTTTGGACGGGCAGCCTTGTTAAATTAATTCGTCGTCGTTGCCACCAGAGGTAATGTTGTGGTTTTCCTTCCTCTCGCAGCTGCGGTGGTCGACTTGTTAGGTGCAGTGTGCTTGGTGTAGTTTCTTCCTGTTTATTTATTACCTCCTACCTCCGTCAACTTCTGCTTTCCCTATCCCCAGTACCCAACTGTTGCGCGTTTCTTGTCAAGCTTCGCCCAACAGCACCAAACACAACCTGAAGTCCGGATCTGCCTTCATCCCCTTTGTTTCCCGGCCGCCTATGCCGATACCTTCAACTCGCACCTTCACATAACACAGTTCCAAAGTAACGGCATCGAGTCCATCTTGGACCATCACCATGTCGTCATACGGCTACGCACCGCCCCCGCCTCCTCCCGCCCCGAGTTCGGGTCCTAGCTACGGGCAGAATCCCAATTCTTCGTATAGCCGCGGAGGAGGAAGTAATGGGCGTGGTCGAGGTGGCCACTATTCTAACGCGCGCTCCGAGTACAAGTCCCAGCAGCAGCCTCACTATGAACACTCCAGCCAACACTATCCCCAACAGCCCCCCGCCTACAACAGCTACCCTCCTACGCAGCAGTGGTCTCCAGAGCACGGCCATCCATCTACACAGCACGCACATGCACACGCCCACCCCCAAGCCCCGATCGCCTCTTCAACCTACCATCCCAGCTACCCTGCCCAGCCTTACACCGCTCCTCAGTATCCTCAGCAGCCTCCCTATGGCCAACCTCAGCCTTATGGTCAAGCTTACCCCCCAGCCTCGGTCGGCTCTGCACCCCCGCCGCATTGGGGTGGTCAAGGACATGTCCCTTCTGCGCCATACGGGGACAGCAGACCTCGAGGAGGATATCAAGGTCGTGGAGGGTCAAAACACTCCCCGACTGTCCGTTATGAACATGAACCTCCCGCTGTTCCAGTGAACGGTTACGTGCAGCCATACCCTCCTCCCTCTCAGTACTATTACTCTGGTCCTCCACCTCCTCCTACACAATCTTCGCACCGAGACGGACGTCACGGCCATAACAATAGCCATGGGCGTCGTGGCGGTGAAGGCAACAGAGGCCGAGGCCGAGGTCGAGGAGGACACGGCTCTGGGGACCGAGGACGCAGTCATCACAAATCTGGCAACGATCATGGAGGTCATCATGGTCAGCAAAAGGGCACTCAGCAAAAGCAAAACCAGCAGTCGAAACAGAACCAGGGCCAGCGTGAGCTACCCATTGTGGGCAGGAAGAAAAAGAGAAAGACCAACACTCTTGGACTGACGCCCGGGATGGAGTCTGAGACTGAGGATGACGAAGGAGAAGAGGAAGCCCTCGTCAAGCTTCTCGGACAAGAGAAGTTCCAGTACGTATCCTATATTTTTGATCACAACGTCGCAGGTTCCTAACCTCTATACAGAGTGGACGATATTGCCGAATTTATTGCTGAGCGAAAGCGAAACTACCCCACCAAAGCTCGCAGAGAGGCCAAGAAGGCCGCCGAGGCTGCGCAGAAGAACGAAGAGAAGAGGACATCACTAGAAAGACAGGCTGATAAGTTGCGACGCCAGCTTCGTAAGGTGGAGTCATCTATTAAACGAAAGCGAGAACAAGGCGATGAGGGAGACGAGATGCGCGACCCGTCATCTGATGAGTCGTCGGATGATGAGAAGCCAGAGGAGGTCTCCTCCCGGCCGTCAGCTTCCAACTCGGCCCCTACCCCTGCTGCGCAGCCCGGCAAGAGAGCTGATGTTACTCGTCACTGCAAATATTTCTCAACTGGTGGGACCTGTGGTAAGAAGAGCAAGTGCCGCTTCGTCCATGACCCTGCTGTCCGCGACGCCGCGATTAAGGAGCGCGAGGCCAACAACGGGCGCCTGACAATCCAGCAACGCTTGATCCTAAACGACAAGGAACAGGAAGACCTGACCATCCTTGCATCCATCCAGTACCTCCGTGTCAAGGGCGTCATGACAAAGGCCGTCGAGGAGGAAAGCCAAAAGAAGACCGTCGCGCCAGTGCCCGTACCTGGATCTTCCAAAAGCCTCCTTCCTGCCGCGCCCCCCTCTTTGCCCCCTCCGCCTGTTAAGAGAGAGCCGGTCGGGCGGAGTAAGCCTCCACCATCCATCATTCCCAACGCTAATAGCATCAGTGCCCAAGGGCTTAAGCACTATCAGGGTTGGCTGTTGAAGCCATATGGCAGCTCGAGCACCAAGACATCTCAAAGTGAGAATCTACCATGATTGCCCCCTTATTAGGACAAAGATTGTTATGGGTTGCCTCTTTTTATTTTTGTTCCCTTTGGCAAGGACAGGTCTCAGCGGTTGAACCAGCCATCTATTTATCTTAACACTAGTCGTATTAGGCCAGCGCTTCGTGGGCTTTTCTATCTGAACGGGCAAGTATTGGGAGTTGAACTTATTCTAATTAGAGCTGCTGGTATAGCAGTGTGATGCCCTGGGTCGTTCATAGATGAACTGGGTTCATACAAGTTAAATTGACAGATATCACATTCATGCATGAAATGCTGGACTGGGGAAGTTGTATGTGCCTGTCTGCAGCATGCTCTACAGAGCACGCTCGTCATTTGCATTGTATCACTAGGCTGATCTGAGGTGAATAATCTAATCCGTTACCCCCTTCACCGCACCATATCCATTCTCCTCTATTCATCATCCATGACATGTATGATTAAGCAGCATCGCTTCAACTTTGTCTGCAAGGGTTCCAAAGGGAAAAACCAGGAAGAAGCCGAGGAATAAGGCAGGCGGAAACGCAAGTAAGTGTACAACTCCAACGCTGATGGGTACCAAAAACAACCGAAAACCAGAAAAGAAACAAAGGGTGTGTTGTGTGTAAAACGGGGGAAACGCGGGGGGGAACGTGGAAATAATTATCCAGGCGGGGAAAAATAAAACATTACGACGGGCCAAACTCCCCTAGAAATGCTGCCGATAAACAGAGAAGAGGTCAAAAAGGACAAACATTCTCAGCGCGGCCGACCTAACGCCCTTGGAGATACCGCCGTTTTCGGTCCTCCTTTTCAGCCTTGAGCTGCTTTTCTCTGCGCTGCTCAATCTCGTCCTCGCGACGGGCAATCGTCTCTGCTCGTCTCTCTTCGAGTTCCAAATCATCCATTCCGGCCTCCATGTCCGACTCGGAACCGGAGTCGTATCTATACCGAGGCTCGCCCTCCTCCTCATCGTCGTAGTCAATGAAATCGTCCAGCTCTTCGTCATAATCGTCCTCATAACGCGAATATCGTGAAGCGCCGGCCCGAGGGGCTGGTCTGTTTAGAAGTGCTCCGCCCCGGGGAGCCTTGTCGTGCTTTGAGGTGGTGCTGCCAGGCTTGGGTCGCGCCGTCCCAGTGTAACCTGTCGTCGCCGTCGCGGCCTTCTTCTGCTTCTTCTCCACCTCCTCCACGGGTTGTCTCCTGTCCCGATCCGATGGTCTGGCCGTTGGCTTGCCTCGGGAGGGGTCTCTAGAGCTACTTACTAACGCGGTGGGTCGCGCCGAGGCTTTGGATGTGCCAGTGTAGGACGACGACGATACCGGTTTCTTTCCAGCCAGACGAGGGTCGACCTTGGCTCGTGGGTCGGGCTTGGTAGGAACCTCCTTCTCCTTCTTCATAACGCCCTTCTCTACCTTCTTGTGCTGGATCTTGCCAACCTGGCCCATCGTCTCCTGGGCGGCCTTTGCTCTGGCCATAATCTCGGCGAACGAGCCCTTCTTGGGAGGGGCTCTCGACGCGGCGGCACTGGCTGGTGACGGGCCATTGCTCGACGATCGGACCGGGGCACTGGGCTTGGTGATTCTGTGTGTGCCGTTCGTCGGCTTCAGAGCCGAGGACACGGTCGACCTGATTCCATTTCCATTCGTCGACTGTGTAGAGTTCGGGCGGTCAAGTGGCCGCGTGGGTTGGATAGGTCGCGAGACTGTGGGGGAGTTTATGCGTGGAGCCTTGGAAGCGATTTGAAGTTGCTCCTCGGCCTTTCGCTTGGGTGCGGGTTCACCACCTCCGATGGAGGCTAGAAGATCACCGATCTAGAAAACGGCCAAAGTCAGTGGGAAAAAAAGTCGAAGAGGGGGGAGCAAGGGTGCCTGGTTACTCACAGCCATCGTGAATCAGACGGTGAAGACGACCGTGGAGGGATGTGTTGGTTGTGAGCCACTCAGCAGCAGTGAAAAATACGCCCCGCGACCAGGTGTTTCGTTAGTGAGTCATCGGTGTATGCGTTTGACACGAGGATCCGGCTCCCTGAGAGTCTCTGATGGGTCCTCGATGACGGACGAAGGATGGGTCTCGGTATGGCTCACACGCCGGGAGCCTGTTAAGCGAGGGTTTTCGGGGTTCTGCGACCGTTCGGAAAGTTTTGTTTTAGTCCCGGCGCTCGAAATGGACGACTTCCGAAGCCTTGTGATGGGAGATGTGACGATTGCTCGAAAAAGAAGGAAGGGTTGCACGGGATAGAAATGAGCAGAAAATGCTGGCGAAGCAGGTGAGGGAAAAGAGGGGGAAGAGAGGAGGTTGATACGGGAGGAGAGAACAAAAGCAACGGGATTGTCGTTGGCAACAAGCGTCACTACAGGCAGCAAGTGCCGTTATTAAGTCATTCACTGGACAAGCCACATCTTTTGCTCGAGCGCAACAGGGCACGTGAGTGGCTGAAGCAAGTTCTTATCAGGCATTATCGCCAAGGGATGTGGCTTGCATTGCCAACCCCCGATTGGCGCTCGCCCTGTCCCCAAGGTGGGGCCCTTCCTGCACTGTAAAAGTTTGGGAGGCACCAGGGCGAAAAAAGGTACATGATCAAAGTACCAGTCCCGCCCTAATTGATTTTAGTGTGCCCACACAAAATTCACAAGAACATTTCTAACCGAACATCGCGGCTCGTTTCGTTTTCTTTTCATCAACAACCAACCTCACCAGAACTCGAAGGTTTCAGTCTCCGCCCAATTTGCGGTTAAAGTGATTGATTTCTCGTGTTTCTATATCTACAACGTGAGTCCCCTCTCCGAATCCCAGATTCTTCCTCCCCTCCATCCAATTCCAGATTCTGGACTGTACCGAAATTCAAACTTACAAACTTTCTACCCTCCAGGATAAAACAAATTCAAAATGAAGCATCTCGCTGCTTACCTCCTCCTCGGCCTCGGTGGCAACACCTCCCCCTCCGCCAAGGACATCACTGCCGTCCTTGAGTCCGTCGGTGCTGAGGTCGACTCTGACCGTCTCGACACCCTGATCTCCGAGCTTGAGGGCAAGGACATCAACGAGGTACGTCAATGCAACTGCTCCTGAGGCGCAAGCCCCTCTACCTCCAGGCCGTACTAATATTTGTCCAGCTCATCGCTGCCGGTTCCGAGAAGCTTGCTTCCGTTCCCTCTGGTGGTTCCGGTGGCGCCGCCGCCGCTGGTGGTGCTGCTGCTGCCGGTGGTGACGCTCCCGCCGCTGAGGAAGAGAAGGAGGAGGAGAAGGAGGAGTCTGATGAGGACATGGGCTTCGGTCTCTTCGACTAAGCGCTCTTATCTCGAGCAAATGTCAAGACTCATTTCGAAGGTTATATGGGCTAGGTTATGCGGTTGCAGCTACGGCTGCGGTACCTCACGGCTGGGAGTCAAAGGTGTCTTTTCGGGTTAGATGGGAATACCACGTAGCCCTCGGCTTGTGAAAATAAAACTACGGCTTGCCTACTTCGAAACAATTTTGCCTTTCGGTTAATAGTGATGTGTGATTGCTGAGGCATCTCAGTATGGAATCTAGACACCCAAGACTAACGGGACCAGCAGAAGAAAGGCCGCAGAAACAGGTGATCAATCTATCACACTTGATAATTTTTACCATAGTTGATCCTCCCTACAGAAATTGACCCCTCCCCCACCACTTAAAAAAGAATGGCGACAGAATTGGCTCGCAGGGTAGGCCCCCCACCATGCAAAACTAGAGCCCCAGCTTAGACTGGTGAAGGTCGCTGCAGAGCTTCATTACCTGACCACGAGAGCTGGCGATTGCTATTCGGCGACAGTGCCAGCCCCAAGCTAACGCTTGTTGGGCGGAAGTAGGTTGACAGCCAGTCCCTTGACTGCGAAGGAAGCTCGACAGGGCTTGGTGGTGAGAACACAACCGGTATCTCAGCCGAGCCGTCACATGCCTCTGCCTCTCTGGTCGGATTTCCTCTAGCTCGTTGGTTCGTATCAGTATGACTCAAACGGCCAGTGGCTCATACATGCTAGAGCGACTCACATTCTCGTATCTTCGTGTATCGTGTGACTGGCCACCCGGCGACTCATATTCCTCGCCACCAGGGCACTTGCAGGGGGTTGAGTTGGGATAGAAGGAAGTTGGCGAGTATCGTGGGATTGCCTTGGGACATTGGGCTTCTTCTGCCTCCTCAATGAGTTGCTCCATCCTCTTCGAATCCCAGTCTCCGACGGGGAACCTCGGGGTGCTGTAGCCCGTGATAGCCTGTGAGGTCGATTTACAGGAGCTGTGTATTTGGATTGGTAGACAGGATAGGAACACCGCCGAACATGTCTGGACGATACCTGCGAGTGCCGATGACAGAAGAAGCCCAGTAATCCCGCGATGAGAATAGCTGCGGCGCCTCCCAGGGCGATTCCTACGACTTGTCCAGCCCCGAGGATAAAGTCGCCATCACCACAGGAGCGGCTGTAGAGAGTCCCTGGCGATGCATCGTCCCTTGAGTCTTCCTGATCTTGCACCGTAAAGTTCCAGGTACTGTCATCCCACAATCGTAAGTTCTTTCCCTTGGCCTGACATGTTGGTGTGAGTACTGCGGCCAATGACACATCTGTTAGAAACGACTCACCGGGTTGATGACTCCGACCATCTTGTGCCCAGAACAGTCGTCATTGCTACCAGAGTAGAAGATCATTGGCTCTGACTCATTCACTTGCAGCCGAAAACTCAAGGGCTACATTTCCACTAGTGAGCAAGAATTTCCAACAATGAGGTGATGTTTTGACCGGCCTACATCTTGTCCCGGTGCCTCAACCACCCTCTCTCCGCTTGAGAAGCCTTGCCCACCCGGGTGAAAGTCTTGGTAGGGAGAACATGGGTTGTCAAAGTCTCCTCTGGAGATCTGGTGAGTGCCTGACCAAAACTGCCACTCGATGTAATCACCAAGCTCTGCAACAACCTCGCGTGGTTCAATCATGTAGCTAGACTTATGTGTCTCTTGTAAGCTTCTATTTATGGGAGCATGGAGAAGGGTAACACTATACTTACCTTCCCTACTTGAATTGTATGCGTAGCTCTACTCTGAGAAATCGTCCGTGAAGCTGAAACAGGGTTATTTGCTGTTGCTGTGGTGCGAGGTAACAGTGTCAGTGCCAGACATCTTGCCACAAGCAATGTGACGAAAATGCTGTGCCTCTTCATCGTCATCAGAGCTTTTCCGTACACGCAAGGAAGATGAAGCTGGGACAGAATGTCACATAGGTTTGGGACAGCTGAGGAGAGGGACAACAAACCTCAGAGTGTCTTCTGTAAAAAGAAGACATACCATGGCTATGATCGCCTCGTGACGCTGCCAAGGAGGCAACCAACAACAAGTCTACCTCAATCCACACCACTTATCCATTCTAGTTTAGAGAAAATACCAACGACCGGAGGTTTTGAGAGACTTCGCAAAGTCCACTCGATCCATGAAACAATAAGAAAGAAACCATTGTGTTGAAGGGGAGAAGAATGAAGTATTGATCACTCTGGGGTCTAGGGTATGGCCCACCCACAATATCCGCACTCAAGACAACAGCCTTGTCACGAATGTGAGTGGAAACGGACAAAATTGGAAATGAAGCGAGTCATGAACCAGCTCGGACATAAAACCATGTGGCCGATTGAAGCAGGGGAGATGTCGTTGGTGGGCTGCTAACACAGTGTGTTGGTAGCCTTGCATGGATTTAGGCGCCGAGCGCGTGCGGCCAAGAGTTCATCGGGGAAGATCTAGGCACCGAAGCGAGCAGATTCGTCCATTCACGGAAATCTGTGTCTCCAAACTAACTTCTGGGGCTGGGCCTTGCAGCTGACGGCCTGTACGAGGCTGTTGGTTGTGTTAGGCGTCATCTGGTGTTCGTCTACAGCCACGAGGCTCCCCCTTCCTGATGTGGCTATACACACACTCGGCTATCGTTCTGATTTGGAATTGTGACCTCATTGGAAGCGTAATAAGTGTGTTAATGCAAGTGTGTTAATGCATGGATTGAATGTATAATGAACATGCTTATGGATGAATTGTGGAGGATGGAGGGGTAGCCGATCACGGAGCGAATGGTCATAAACCTCATCAAATCTCAGAAACAAATCAAGATCTTTTGAACCAACTGAAGAGAAAGGGTATCATTAATCTACACCACCGGCCAACAGGCCCTCGCCCTTGCTCCAAGGCAAATTCCGCTTCTCGTAACTTACAAGGCAACCGGGGAAGGGGGAAGAGAGGGAAGAGAGGTAGGGTCAACGCTGTCCAGCTCCCTTTCGACTTAGCTTCAAGATATCACCAACAAGCTCGCAGCTGTGTTTCAGGACAGGAACCTTTGTCTATCGTCTAAGAATAGGAAGAGAAGGAATGTGATGAGCTATGCCTCTCATTGAGTCTTCTTCGTGGAAGAGACGAGATCACTGTGGGAAACCAGTTTCCAGAAACACCACAGGTAGCAGAGTCCGAAGCCGACAACCCCCACGCCGACATTGGCGACTGTCCACAGGTCAGGCTTGTTCAATGGTGGGGCGAGGTATGCCTGGACAAAATGCCATGCAACCATAGCAACATAGAAAACACTGTGGGTCACAAGCGTGATGATCTTGGACCAAGTCCTCGCACCGTCGGTGTAAACACTCCAGGTAGTGGGGGGCAGTCCCAACAGGTAGGCCCAGAGCAGCGTCAGCACTCCATAGGGAACAGCGAGATCAACACGCTGGAGCAAGGGGAACATGGTCCAGGCACCCAGGAGGTTAGCGAACCCGACCCAAGCTCGAGTCTCCCACTCTAACCCCTGTCTTCCTGCGAGGAGAAGAGTCATGGGCATCAAGGGAAGGAGGACGCTCTTCTCATGCACCTGCCAGCTGAAGAGGAAAAATCCCCACGCAGTTGTTGCAAACGCAAGGGGGAGGGTCTCCCTTCTTGGCCGAATGAAAGTGACCAGGTTGGGAGGGATGATGGATAGAAGGGTAGCGGCAGCAGCACCTTTTTGGAGTAGTTCGACAGGGAAGTTCTTAAGCTTCACAATGACGTTCAAGGCGCACCAAAAGTTGGCCACCTTGTCCTCGAAAAGGCCACGAGCAAAGGGGAACACGCGGTGGATGATTTGGACGATCTGCTGGACGATGGGATAGTAGAAGGCTTTGGTATCTAGGTACTGACCAAGGGCTGTGAAGATGGGTAGCTCGGAAGGGGGGCCATCTGCCTCGTTTCCAGGGTTCACTTTGCGGTAGACATCGTAGTAGGTCCCAAGGACGATTGGTAAAACAAGGGCGGCAAAACTGACAATGGTGACCAGGGTAATACCGAACAGTCGTGAAATATTTAGCGGGAAAATGCACCTCCCCAGAAGATATGCGAAGACCGGGAAGGCATAATACAGCGCCATCTGCTTGAATCCGAGCGCTCCAACAAAGAACACCGCAGCCCACTTGTAGCGCTCGGCCAACATGCTCGACATGCTGGCTAGGACTAATCCTAGCATGACCGTGTTGTATTGGAAGTGGACATGATCGATCAGGATGGTCGAGGGCTGCATCAAGATGGCGACCAAAGCGACGGAGGCGGTCCATTGAGAGACGGAGCTGAGCCGGCTATATCGTCGGACAAAGACAATGGCGGCTGGGGCATAGGTCAAGTATTCGGAGATGAAGACGGTGGCCCTCATGAAAACCTTCAAGTTAGGGTCCTCGATTCCGCGAGAGGTGTAGAGAGCGAACCAGTCAGGGTTGATCAGGGCTCCCACTTTGCCCAGAACCCAGCTGTGGTAGGCCGTGAGAGGGGGGTAGTCGAGGCCCCACCATTGGAGGTCGTGGAAATACCATTGCGATACGGGGAGATGCGTCGTGATTTCCATCCAGTGTCGTTGCGCCTCGTAGTCTCCGAACATGGGAGGTCGTTGGAAGCCTGACTGCTGAGTTAGCCGGAGCTCATGTTTTGGTGGATGGCTGGCGATGGTTTACCTGAATAGCCCCAGAGTCCAGCAGACCAGCGGAAGAGTCCGACGACCATAAGGACTAAGGGTAGGACCTCCCATTGCGACGATGATCTCCTGGCCGGCCAGAGGAACGCCGCGAGAGGAAACGAGGGAGCCCGGACCAGGGTGGCATTGGCGACGCGGGTTCGTAGAGGCGTCTCGGATGCACTGCCGGTCTTCTTGCCCTTTCGCCTGGGCTTGTGGGGTAACGGGCTCGATCCAGCCATGGTTGTTGTCTACATCAATGCCCGGTGGAAGCAATCGATGGTGTTTGTGCGGATGTGCTGGTCGTGGTGCGAGATGGATGGATTCGTGTCCCAATGAGCTACCCTGGGCCTGCGCATGTCATTTCGCAGGAGAGCTACAGGGATTGCTGGCCAATGAGAACTTGCGGGAGTGGAAGCTGGTCCCTCTAGGTTAGGCCGATCGACATGATGTCTGGGTAAGGTGCTTAGTCATACAGCTCACACAGTGCCGTCATGCCTTTGTGCACTGACTCAAACACGCCTGTGAATGGCCCAAACACAGTGCATATAATGACTCTCACACTGGCCTTTGTCCCGCACCTCGAAATGCGCTTTGAAGTGAATGAGACGAGACCAACTGGGTGGCGTTATTCAGTCAGCTCTGTCTCAATGTTAAGCTTAATAGATGAGGGCCTTGTACAGTCCTTACCTGCGCGGAGTACGGCCAGAATCCGATTCGAGTAGAATCATTCACGATGCCTTACCCATTCGTCCTTCCCACCACTTCGTCATTTTCCTTCTCATCCCACTTTGAGTGCGAGACTCACCCATCCTTGCCACTCAATGCGAGCACATACCGTGGCGTCGCCCGTGAGGCCCTCAAGAAACACAAGCGTCTACCCCCTTCTGAGCAGATCGGCCATCTTTCGACAGTCTCAGCCAGCCTGAACAGCTACATTCCCTACCTTCTAGCCATTGACGCTGGTCTTCGTGATGGGAGACTCCCCACAGGCGACGTCATCCACGTGAAGCCCAAAGGCACACCCACCATCAAATGGCGTACGACACTCTCAGGCGACACCGTGCCTGGAAAAGAGAGGTCCCGGGCGCGGATCAACTCTATTGAGCAAGAGATATATTTCACTCTCTCATCTCTGGGTTTTACACACGTCTTGGCATCAAGAACGGCTCTGCAGCCCCTCTATGCCACCAGCAGCGACTTCCTTGGCCCGCAAGAGCGCACCGCGGCGGTCTCTACGGCGGCCAAATCTTTGATGGAAGCTGCTTCTATCTACACCTATCTTGCTACTAGAACCGAGGGTACCTCTGTGAACCCCCCGTGTGTCGATATCGCCCCAACTACGATTCGTGCCCTGGCTGCCTTGGCCCACGCCGAAGCCACTCTGCTTGCAGTTCTCAAGGATGATCCCTATCCCGCTGCAGTTGCGCAGGATAGGAACAAGAATGACAAGGAATGGATGTTCAAGCCTCCTGAGATCCCCAAGGTTCGGGCTCACCTGTATGCTCGTCTTTGTCTGGCTGCTTCAGAGCATGCTGCTAAGGCTGCCTCCTTGGCCCAACCCACTGGATCTGGCCCTACTGGAAGGGTAGAGTCTGGCCTTGCAAAATATATTGAGAACTTTCGCCGCACCAGCCGCGCAAAGGCCTGCAGATTTCTTGGTATTGATGCTGAGCTTGGTGGCCAGACCGCTGATGGCATTGGATGGCTTCGC